ACTATGATACTATATAAGTCACAGTAATTGTACGAAAGAAAATTAATAATTTTTTACACGAGACTATTTACGTTTGATATTGTCAAAGGATTATGAAAAAGTTAATTATACGTTTATTATTAACGACGCTTGTTATTATTAGTTTATGTACAGCTCAAGATGATCCCATTGAAATTGAAAAACCATCTATTATAAGAATACCAATTCAAACGATTCCTCCAATCATTATTAATCCAAATATTTTGTGTTTATTATTTCCATTACCAGATAGATGCAATCCATGCAAATATGGTCAACCACTCAAAAATATTGTTTGTGGACAAGGAAATCGAGAATGTGAAGCCAATAATGGTACATGCAAAGTGAATCGATACGACAAAGTTTACTGTTGTCCAAATGAACATCCAGGTTGTTGTCCGACGGTATTACCACCACCTGTTACCATTCCATTGCCTAATGGTAATTATCCATTATGCGTTCCAACATGTACAACAGATGCTAAATGTGAAATCTATCAAAAATGTTGTGGAAATTGTAAGCGATGTGTCAATGTCACAATCACATAATTACAAAGACTAATATTTATTTTTCTTACAAATCAGCTGTAAATTCTTTTTTTTTTCAAATATTATTAATAAACTCGCTCGAATTATTTTTACTAAGCGTTCTATTTCACAAAACGGAAATCTTCTCCATCTGTAACACTTACAATATTATGAAGTAGTATAATCAATATATTGCAATGGAAAAAACACTTTTTTATGTAGCATCTATTAGGTAAAGAATATTATTTTTAGTAGCGCTAAGTTTTAATAAATGGTTCAGCTCGATAAAATTGCGAATCGCCAAAATTGTATTGCTGTGTATTTGTAATTTTCTTTTTAACTGAGAAATAACTATTGATACTAGAACAAATTTAATTACAGAGTGTTTGACAATACGTGTGTATCATAGATGCTTTACATAATACTTTTATATCAATTCATTTTGAGCAGAGTAACATGTAAACTTTGAACAAATGTCTATGATTTGAATCATTTTTAGTACTGATATTGTTTTCTTTTTTATTAATTGTTATTCTTATAACATAATACATTACAACAATGGTGCATTCAGAGAATCATACAGCTAGAGGCTACACTTATAGATCATTTCAGTTCGTTGACTATACTGCTATAGAAAAAAATGAGATGTTGTTGAGTTGAACTCTTGCAATACGTTCTATTGTGGATTTAACACAATAACAGGACTTTATCGATTCAAATCAAAAATAAAATGTTTCTTATTCCTCTATGATCAGAAAGTAAGTTTATTATGACACTAAGTGAACTTGATTTCAATAAGTGTTCAACTAGACGATTATTCTTCAATATTGTATTGATACGAATCAGGCTTCATTGGCTGTTGTATCGTTTTAGTACATAATTCTGTTTCGTCTGCTTCTTACGTTTAGGATTTCATCTTGTTAATACTTTTATGAGAAAAGTATCGACAAGGTGTCAGCCTCTAAAAAAAACAGTGCTGAGTAGCCAAAACTTCAATATTACAATGTATGATAATACCAATTTTGAATAAACTTCATAAATTTATACACAGTATGTAACTTTTATTGCGCTGAATGCTTGTTTGTATAATGGCATATAATCTAGACTAAGATTAGCAATATACATTTAATATCTTACATTTGCATTGATATAGTCACATACAAAAGCATACTGGTTCCATTAGTGTCACAAAGACATAGACCGCAGGTACAAATGCATTTTCAATTCATTATAAGATGCCTACATCGCGAAATTCAAGCTGAATGTTTTGTTTCGTCTTTTTACACGGTCCGATGGAGCTTTTTCAATGTTGGCGAAATTTTCTATAGTATCTTTTTGTTGAACTTCTGTGACTTATTTTTCAAATTCAGTGTCAAAAACTGAGTATGAAAACGTAATTAAATCAAATCTGAATAAAAATGGTTGATATTGACGACCAAATTGGTTCTATTGACATGCCGCTAGGTCTTGTGTTATAAACCTATCTAGGTTTTTTTTGTGTGACCGATGAAGCCAAATATTTTATCTCATGTAATAGATCATACTATCAGTCATCAAAGTATGCATTCCTTTTTTCTCTTTCATTTTTTTTATCAAAAAAAAAACATTCTTGCTAAATTTTGGGCACAATCGCTAGAACTCGATCCATTTTCTGTATTTTCAACGTCAAAGCAAAATCGATAAAAGTATATATCAGTCGATCCAGCTATCTATGCTAATTCCAAATATTGTAATTTCATTTCGTGACATCTTCGTTTTGATGTAATAGGGTGTGGGTGTGAGTGTGGGTGGGTATGGTGTGGCGGTGTGGGTGAGAGTGTGAGTGTGGGTGCGGTGGATGTGGTGGGTGTGGGTGTGGGGTGTGAGTGTGGGTTTGTGTGGGTATGGATATGTGTGTGCGTGTGGGTGTGGGATGGGGTCTGGGTATGGGTGTGCGTTTCATCCAATTAAAAAGAAAAGAGCAATGCCGACACCCACCTCCATCCACCTCCACCCACCCACCCACATACCCACACCCACATCCAACCACATCCTTTATATGAATTTTAAGTGTCTTTTTATGATAAAATGCTGCTAATGTAAAATCGTTAAGTTCACTATTAACATTCGATCATTTTGTTATATGGTATTGCTAAATCTAGATGATTGTTTTATATTAATTTGAGAGAAATATCTAAAGACTTCTTATAGTATTCAATCGCTCTTTAGGAAGTACCCATTCTACCATAAGCAAAGTCAAGATCTGAGTAACTAACTGACATTGCGAGCGTGGGTGTGCGGATGTGTTGACCTAGTTGCAGATATGACTACAGTTGGGCTCGAGTGTGGGTGTGGGTGTAGGTGGGTGTGGAGTGTGACTGTGGATATAGGTGAACACAAGACACACGCTCCACACCCACAGCCACACTCACATCCACACCCCCACACCCACACCCACAGCCACACTCACATCCACACCCACACCCACACCCCACACCCACACACCCACACCCACACTCACACCCTTTCATTTTAAAATCTTGCTTAATTTCGGTTATGAACGCCGTTTGACTGCTTCGGAAATTTTTGGACATGGTTCTTGAACTTTGACTTGTACTCAGAGATCCAAGTCGCTTTTAACTAAGTTAATTAATCTTTCAGTTCACCCATTCTATCTTCATCCAGGTGATTAATGTGCATTGACCTAGCAAGCTTTGTTCCCCATTTTATAATGGGCAATAATGATATTACGAAGATCTTTGTTGTTTGCCATCTTAAAACTTTATTAGCACAATACAAAGATCCGTTCAATGACAATTGTGAAAAGTAACAATTTAAGGTTTTATGATTTCGTATATACAATGTTTCCCTTGTAGCCATATAAAAAGATTATAAAAGTAATGTAATAAGATTTCTCATTAACATTCTAGTAGAGAATTTTATGGTGCATTTTTTAGACAAAAGTTTAAGATTATGCGATCTATCTGAACTGAGATATTGGCAATATACTAACTGTTGCAATCATTATGACTTACCCTGTATATGAAATCTTTGAAATATATGGTAGAAATGAACGTAAAATAACAGATGAATCGTTTGATTGTGTGTTTAAATAAGTAAATCTATTATAGAATAATTATTCAACTACGAAAGAAACTCGCAGAGATCTAAAATCTTTCATAATTTAATAAAAATTTTTAAAAAAAAAAGTTGTTTTTTACATAAGTTATTATTTATGACAGATACATTCTATTGACTGGCTTTTATTCAGATTAAGTCAACAATGAATTTTGCTTAGAGAAAAAATTCTACGTTCAACATAATATTTCTTTTTTATTTGAAAATAAAACAACAATCAGATCGTTATTACGTCCAATTTTTTTTTTAATATTATCAAACGTTAAGAAGACTATTTACCTTTGACTTACAGAAATTTTCTACTTATTTCTCTTTGATGAAAATAACCATTGTATCATAGAACTATGTTTTGTTCCAATGTGTAAGTACTTACTAGAATGCTCGTTCAATCCCAAAAACTCCGTATGAAAAAAAATGATTACAAGAGCTCTGAATAAAATTAGTCTCGGAATCAACAAGACTTTTTGTAGAAAATTTATTATATTTGTTTTACAAACTAATACACTTTGGAGCTTTTAAGAATGTCTTGTAGAAGCATCCGAACCTAAAACAAAGTCAACATAAATTTTCTTTGATGTCCACAGGCTCGAATACAGCGCCGTTGGATTCTTCAAAATGCACTTGTTTGTACGATAAATATCAAAGAATAAAACCTACTATTCAGAAACGTTTATATGATAAAACTGAATTTTGGACAAAAAATTTAATTCACTTCGCGCATGGCTTCAATGAGTACATACGAAATCAAAAGTACTATTTATCTATATCTGATGAACTAAACATAAAACACTTTCAAATTATGCAAAACAAAGGTACAAAAACAGCTTCTCTAGAAAAAACGCAAACCGTTTTTTTTAATGTATTTTCCAACTGTTCTACACATGCATAGTACCATTATCATTAAGGAAACCAAACTTAATAAAAATTTTAGAAAAAAAAAAACATAAGTTTTTGTTTTTAAAATATGAACTATGTCTTTTCATGACCATTATAGTATTTAATATACATGTAAGAAGCTATGAGTACAATCCCAGCGGGAGTAAAATTTGAAGCAGGCCAGAACTGCTGTGATCGTGAACGAGGAAATTCATGGACATATTTTTCCATTTATGAATTACCACCTGTGTCGATGCGTCTCAATAATAAAAGATGTTAATCACAATATGTATCAATCTTTGTGCTGTATGTTCTCGAAATCTTTGTTAATTTTAAGTATTCAATTCAAAAGACTTCTTCTCTATTTATCGTTAATTACTAGACATAAGTAGATAATTTTTTCGATTCATTTGAAGAATATCTTACATTTCTTAATTAAATAGTTGAATTCACATTTAAAATTGAGTGATTTCAGAAATTGTCAGATTCTAAGATGACATTGTTTTATGAAAAGTTTCTGTTTTAAGAGTATCACTTCTGAATTCCTCGAGAAAATCTAATTTTTATTGAGATATTAGCACAGTTCATATCTTTCGTTAAAGATTTTAATATAACATTTCTCATGTCACTTATAACTACTTTGGTTAACATTCTTTTTTTTTTCTTAGTTGAGAATAGTTACCAGGGATTATTGAAGTCACTTGAGAAAACAACTCTTCCATATTTGTTTGATTTATAGATTAACAAATAAATTATTACACAATACGAGCAAGAAATTCTATAAGTTATACTTTCATTGTGAAAAGTTAATGGCATCATCTGTATTGCTCACTTTTGTTCATGTTCTTCAGAAACTTGATCGTTACGAACTCCCATTCATATTTATATTTGGTCACGTGAGTAATATTGCCAATATTGTCATATTTTTTCGTCGTTCATTTCGTGTCAATGTTTGTTCATGGTACTTTTTATGCTTGTCATTAAATAATCTTCTATTATTATACGTGATTTGCCTTTCAAAATTTGTG